TCCCTGAAAGGAATTCTTATAGTTTTCTGATGTCTACATTAAATTTCATCCCTGCTCAGGACTGTTTTTTTATGATCTTAGGGACTAAGATAAATTTGGTGGGATGTTTGTTATTATAGTGAGACAACTTTAATTTCAAAATCTGGCTCTACTAGTACTATTATGTGAACCCAAGAACACATCTTAGGCTTTCTGAGCTTCTGTTTCTCCATTTATAAAATGGAAAGGTTGATTTTTTTTCACTTCAGCAGAGCTTTTGGGAGTATGAAATGCCGTAATATATAGAAAATTACTAGCACTGTGTTAGCTAGCATTAGAGATTGCCTGAACCCTCTTCATGCCTGTTTCCTTGAGAAGACCCATCTGTGCCTCCAGAGAAAGCACTCTTCTGGGCATGTGCCACCTACTTTCTCATGCTCTCAACATTGGGAAGGTGTGATTGTGTGTGTTTTTCAGTTGGGAAAAGACTAGAAGTTATGTGGAGGCTGTCTCTCTTTGCTATAATTTCTATGTAAATGAACAGGAACACGACAGTTATGTTCTATTAATCAGGACTTGGAACTTAGTCCAGAACCCTTAGTTAATTGACTTCTTTTTTCCTTTGTTTCTACTCTTTAAGGAAAAGAAGTGAAAAGACAAGAAAGTTGGAGTTTGTTGTTGGACAGCTCCCCTGCAGGGGGTGGCTCAAGGTTAACAAAGGATGCCATACCCTTCTCCCCCAAGGGTCACCCTTGCTTGCCCCGTTGCATTCCCAGGAGTCTGGCACAGTTGAACTTGCTTAGTGAATGCTCAGTAAACCTCTGTTAGATGTCTGAAGACAGCCTTGGCTGTAGCTGGACTCCACTCTTGGTGCAGTCTTCACATGTTGAGAATTTTCCTTCTCCCTTGCTTTTGTTTATCCTTGAAGCATTATTCCCAGTCATGGCCCTGTGGACTTGGGGTTGGAATTATTGATACCAAGTTTTAGCTTTGTCAGGAGCCAGTAGGAATCGGGTTGGATTTCTTCGTTTTTTTTTTTTTTTTTT